AAACCACATGAAAAGCTATGATTTGGGTACAGTTAATCCACAGAAACACAAATAGGAATCACCACAGAATAAACATAAGGGGATCACAACTGAAAAATTTTTTTGCAAGAGGAAAACAAACCCACACTCACATATTTCATTCATCACATTACCACATTTCTTTCATTACAGTTACTGCTTATTAACACTTTTCTGCTTTTTAAGGAGAAACATATGCTTCCTCTTATGTAAAGTTACAGCAATACATCTTTGCAGCTCCCCCAGGATTATTTAGATTTTTTTTATTTCCATCCTCCTGATCAGGAGGTTCTGTGTTTAAAACTCAGTGTTCTGGCCATATAGCTGTAACATACTTGGAATTTCAGGACAGCCTCTAAAATTTTAGGTTATGATCAAGGGTCATACCAAAAGGAAAACAGAAAAGAAGTATATGGATATTTACGGATGTTCAAACAGATTTAGAATCATGAGTGATGAGGAAGTTACTGATCTCTGCTGAGCCAATCAATTTAGCACTTATTTATAGGTTCAAGATAAAAAAAGGATGTTATAAAAACACATAATATTAACATAGGTGTGTCTTATTCTTGTGAAGGATTTAGTCATGAAAAATCAATTAACCTTTGCAAACAGTTTAAAGTGCATTACCAGAAAAGTTGGGGTCTTCTCCCTGTCGATGGTGTGATGTACATACACGTGTCCATTCACATCATCTTCTATGGAAAACAATCCAACCTCTGGAGGTTCATCTACCCCAGGTCCACTGATTAAATATTTTAGTGACGCATTAAATGATTTTTTATTGAACAGCTTTTGAAAAGAGAAGTAGAACAACGCAATGTGAGCGGGGAAGATGGAACAGAAATATAAAATACTTAGGCCCAATCCTCTTTGTGCCCACCTTCTCTTTGCAGATGGGCCCTGCTTGCAGGCTTGGTCTCACCCAGCCCAACAGCTTTCTGGGCTGCAGCAGCACCACTCTACACAGCTCTGGGCCATGATCCTCTCACCTCTCCCTTTCCATAATGTTCTTTTCCCTGAGTGTCCCTGCAGCTTCCCACAGGAAGGAGCAGTACACCCCTGCCACCTCCCAGTTCTACCCAACTCAGTGCAAATAAGACAACTTTGAACAAGGCAGCTTTTTAAAAAGTTGCTGTTTAATGCACAGTTCTTGCCCTCTCCTCCCTGTGGTATTTTATTGTACAACCTGTGCTGAGTAAGTAATGACTATTCAAGAAGAATTTTTCTTAAAAGGTTGTACCTGTCCAGCATATCTGGGGAATGGTCCTTTGTCCTCCTCTTGAACATCAATGGTGGTGATAACCCAGGTCCTTTTTGTGCGCTGGAGAGGATGTAGACTGTCCAGCTCATAAGAACCCACCCACTGTCGGATAAAAAAGTGTGTTCAGTGCCCCGGTTCACCCATCAGCCATTGTGTGGCTGTTATTATATAATATTGACTGCAAACCTGAATGTTCTTCCCTTGGGTGACTTGTCTTAAACTGGAATTTTCAATTTCACGAGAAAAACTGTTGGCAGCAGTAACCTTGTGAGAAAAGTGATTGTGAGAAACACTGATACGTTGTATAGGAGGAGTTTGCCTTCACAGAAACATATTGATCCAGTTTTGACAGTATTGTATTGAATTGTATCTAACCCTGGAAACTCCACAAATGTCATCTATCCCATTCCAAATGGATCACATGAGAGCTGGGATGTAATTCCTTTGGTCAGGTGAGGCCAGTGCCAGAAACATAAAATCACTTCATCCATACAGACACCAGTCCATGGCATCATCTCTATGGTTTTTCTCAAACCAAGTATCTCTACTTTTTAATAACCCTGCCTCTGTGTCTTGGGCTCCTTTAGAAGTTGTCTGGTATTGACAGGACATAAACCTACTTCTGGAAAAAAGAGTTAAGCCTGGGGAGTATTTCAGGGTCTCAGGTGTGACTCAAGGTGTTCCAACGAGCTGATTTACCAGAAGGTGAACACTGCACTAGTCTCTGATCCAGATGAGTAAAATAAATTGGTGAGAATGGTGATTACACCCATATCAGCAGGATTTGCCCTTTCACAAGCACAAGCTTCCTGCACCAGCTTCAAACACTGCTTTATCCTGGAAATCTTTCACCTCAAAGGACTATGACCATGCTCAAATTACACTAATGCCCTTAGCTCACAGGTAACTCGGACACTTCTCCTTTTCTTCAGAAATCTTGGGGTTTATGACTTATCCCATCATTTCCAAAAATGGAACAGGTCTCTGCCTGTCTAGACTTGGGTGAAGATCAGGCCTTTACCCCATGACTTACTTCTGAAGAAACAAAATCCTTCTAAACTTGCCATGGTTATACACCTGCCAAGAAGCAGGGATCACCAGTAATGCCTTGGAGTTACTCAGAAGCTGTTGTATATCCAGGGAAAAGCTCTGTGATGTAAAAACAGCAGGCAAGGCTTCAACTCAGCACTTGCAAGTCATCTTTATTAGCTTTGCTCCTGGTTCAGCCCTGCTGGAACCCCCGAAGAAGCTGTTTTACCCTTTGGGTACATACAGCACTTTAAAATATTTTGGAAGTTTTAAGTGGGTATTTTATGGTTTCTTCCTCTCCTCTATGTGCTCCTGCACAGCAATGGCTCAGGGCAGTGCTTTATCCATTCCACCCACAGGCACTGCTGGAAAGGAACAACCCAGGACAGGACTACAAATCCCACAGAAAGACTCATGGAAATGCCACTGAATTACTGGAGGGATGATTAACACAGCAGGGTCACCACTGGGCATCAATGTGCTCAGCCAGCTGTGAGTGCTCTGGTACCCAAAGCAGGAGGAGCAGAGGGTCCTCACCACTGGAAACCCCCTCCCTGGAGACCTGAACCCAGTTCCTGGGACAGAGCAGCCACCTGTCTTGGAGGCACCACACAAGGACAAAGAGAATCCCAATCACACAGAGTGATTAAGGTTGGAAGGAACCACTGGAGGTCATCTAGTTCAGCCTTCTTGCTCAAGCAGGTCCCCTCAAGCACATTAACAGAATCACAGAATATGCTGAGTTGGAAGGGACCCACAAGGACCATCGAGTCCAACCCTTATCCCTGTAAAGGACCATCCCCACAAATCACACCATGTGCCTAAGACCATTGTCCAAATGCTTCTGGAAATCTGTCAGGCTTGCTACTTACTCAGGATTGTGTCCAGAGTACCTCCAGGAAAGGAGACTCCATCACCTCTCTGGGCAGCCTGTTCCAATGCTCAGTCACCCACACAGTGAAGTCCTTCCTCATTATTAGGTGGAATGTTCAGTGTCCATTTTCTGCCCATCCTGTTGCACCCCAAGAAGATCCTGGCTCCATCCTCGCTCCATACCCCCTGTGCGACCAGATCCCTCCCCACAACCCCACCCACACCCACCTGCAGGAGCAGCAGGATGAGGAGCAGCTCCATGGGGAGCAGTGGGACCATGGGGAGCCTGGGAAGGTCGTGCTGTGGGAGGTGGGAGCACCCAGGTGCAGCAGAGCCGGGTCCGTGGAACGTTGTGTGACAGCTCCCACAGCCCAAAGCTTTTATACCAGCCCTGGGAGCTGCCCCAGAGGCCTGGGAGCGTTTCCGCCTCGTCCCACAAAGTGAAAGAAGATGAATTGTTGTTTCTGTAAAACTGGACCAAAAGAAAAGCTCAATCCTCTCGTGGTGTCGGTTCCCTTCAGTCAGTTTGCAGCTGCCACTTCCACACCCAATAAATGGGCCATGGCTGCAATAAAGGTAAACACGTGTCTTGTTTTGCCATTTCCTAAGAACTTCTCAGTTATCTGCAGAGGGTAAACAGGAGCTTTATATTCAATGGAAGCTGGTTTTATCTGCCACGCCCAGGAGTTTCTGTGACCTCAGATTTTGAAACAAGAGCAGCTTATTTGAAAGCTGAGATAAACACCACTAGAGTGTCCTGTTGTGGTGAAAAGCCATCACACCAGGGTGAAGCTGTGTACCTGAGGCTGAACTTCCCACCCAGAGGGTGAAAAATACTACATAAAGAAGCAGGAAATTAAAAACTAAGTCTTGTAAAATCACGTAGAAAGAAGACAGAGAGTGGCAGAGAGTATGGGGAAGGTCCTGGCTTTGGAAATAGCTCTTACAGCATTTTCTCTTCTCCTGTGTTGCTTTTACTGGGCATAATGTGTGTTCTCTTTTAAGATATAATATAATGTCCTGGAAGGTGTGAAAGGAAGACTTAGAAAAGAACTGATCTGCTGTTCAGGCAAGAAAAAATACGTGTCAAATAAGCCCCAATGTTTCGAGCAGCAGTGAGTGTGGGGAGGAAGGCAGGTAGGGACCTTCTGAGACTCACAGATACCTGTAACAGGCTTAACCAGCAGTGCAGGACTGGATGGGTCAGACATCAGGAAAATCTCAAACAGCAAGAATGTTCTGCTTGTACAATTCTTGTGTGGTATGTCACAGCGGGGTTTTGTAAAGCTTAATATAAAGATGACAGGAACAGCAATGCAAAGGATTTTTCAGCAACAGGTAATCCCATTTTCCCCCTTTCAATCTCTCTCCCTTCATTTTCCTCTTGATGAATCTCAACTGAACATATGAACAGTGTGAGAAATTAAGTTATACATATCCATGGATATTAGAAATATCAGAATGTGATTCTCAGCATGAATCCACCCACGGCTTTGCAGCTCTTTGGATCATGTTCTGCGTCCTGCAGATTGTAACAGAAAATGTTAAACTTACTCATTAGTGCATTTAAAAAAAGGTATGGATGTGATGAAGTAAGTTTTTCCTATCATTTGCACCCATTATGATGCCTTAATGCAGCCAAGACAGAAGTGACTGCCAGGTGGAGTAGAAATATTTGTATTTTTATGACCTCACTTGGTCATCAGAGCAAGAGCTGAGATGTGCTGAGCTCCAGCTCCATCCTGCAGGACAGGAATTCTCTCAAAGAATGATCCTGAGATGCCACCTCGAGGATGATGGAAAAAACACAACTCAGTACCAAACAGGCAGTATCTCACTTTTAATGTAGCAAATATACAGTAACTTTGAATTACAAGATCACCTCCCAATGAAATTGCTAGCAAAAATATTCACAAAAAGTTCAAATAAATAACAATACATGATTATCAACATCAAAAGCTGGGCTGCAAACACTCAGTTAATCGAGTTCAGTCCTTCCAGAGTGGTCTGTTTATTTTTCAGATGAAAAACAACCGATGCAATGGGAGCAACAAAGGCTCAACACCTTTAAAATAAGGCAAAAAATAGTACATTCTAGGCAACTCCATTTTGCAGAAATTTCAACTATAATATCAGCTCCAAGAAAGGGTGTCACAGACTGACTGAAAAAACTGCCAAAATTCTCTCAAACTTCTACCAAGATCCTTTAAATAGCAAATTCAAGATAAAATTACCTCAAACAATAAATGAAACACAGAAAGGACATGAGCAGTAATGGGATTATGGTGCAGAGGAGGTAAAACTTTTAACTGATCACAGTATGAGATGCAAGTAATGCAGAAGAAAGAAATGTGTCAAGAGAAAAACAGTATTGCTTTACATTTCTTTGTGTGATACATTAAAAATACAGTTCAGCATTACTAAGGAAAGCAGTTTATACATATTGGAGTAAAACTCTGTTCACACTTTTGTAACAGGGTAATTTCATTGAAAACATCTGAGCTGTTCAGAGTTGTGTAACTGAAGAACAATCTGGCTGTTTACCTAAAATGCAACCTGAGCATATTTATTCTGTAGGTAACACTGCAGAACATTAAACCCTGACATCCTCTAGCAAAAAAAATAAATCTCTCTGTTTAAATATCTCACATCACAGCAACTTGTTCTTCAAGAAGCATCACCAACGCCAGGCTTAGACACACAGATAGTAAAAAAAATATAATAGCCACACACTATGCTATGGATCTATCTTAATTAAATAATTTTAAACTGAATGTATTTGATGGAATAAAATCTTCTGCTATATTCAGAAGGGCTTCTAAAGACAATATACATCAATACAAAATGAAGGAAGCATAAACCATATTCCTCTTCACAAAAAGAGCTCTTCTTATTTGTAGACCCAGAACACAGCCAAGTCAAAATGGAAACAGGATAAAGCCTAACCCTTGCAGGTCTGCTCAGGCCAAGAGCTGTTTGTGGAGGCAAACACAGAATTTCTATTTCTGTGTGTGAACAAAGACAACTATAGAAGTATCAAATCAGTGAACAGAAATTAGATGGATGTGATTATCACGTGAGACAAACTTACTTGGCCAGGTCACACCCAGCTGAATGATGAGCAAGTATTCAGACTTATTTGAAGTGGCCTCACCATCTCCACCTGCTTCACTTTTTATCTCCAAAAACAACCTGATGTCCACCAGATCACAAGCACTATATTAAAACAAAACTTTCCTACCTCTGTGATAACAAACTTTTCTCAGTGCCAATCACCTTTCATCTGTTTTCTGATTGAAATGTTGCTTATTTATTCTTTAAGCAGTGATCATGCAAAATGTGCCTGTATCTACATGCCCTCCTTAGAACCCAGGAAAGCATCAATACACAGTAAGATTTCATAGGAAAATTTAGCATACACTAATATTCAGTGCTGTAACAACATGCTGAATTAATGACTGCACCTAACAGAATTTGTTTAAAAACCTGCTATTCTGATTATTGCCTGGATCCTGCTCGATTTTTGTGCTTAGAACAGTGGCCTAGAACAGTGCACTGAACTCATTGGCAAGAGCAGCTCGACCTTTCACTGCTGTGAAAGTGAATCAGGAAAACTCGACTAAGGCAGGCTTGCAAAACTTGGCCAGAGCTTGAAATAGAAGCATTGGATGCAGGAACTTTTCATCTAAAAAAGCTGAAATAAGTGATGAGGCTGGGCCAAAACAAAGGGGTGAAACAGTGACAATGGGATGTGCTGGTCCTCTGTAGCTGCTGGTGTTCAGTTCCACCCTCTGAGTCCATCCCACCTCTGAGACAGCCAATTTCTTTGATCTTTGAGCATGTCAGATTAAGTTTCACTTTAATTGCATAGAGCTCAATGTACATGCAACTACATTTTAACTGTAATTTCACAAATACTGAATCTGGAAACGTGATACCATTATATTTGTTTCCTTTACCAATTTAAAATTTCACATTTGGTCTCCAGCAGACTAAGAAAAAAACCACTAAAAATATTTCTTAAGACTATTCCTGAGCAATGTTTTTATGTACTGTAAAATACTCTAGGTTTATTACTACATTTATTAAGATTCTCACATTTTAAACTACCTATATATAAATCCATGCTTTGAAATTTAACAAAGCTGAAGATCTGGTAGGCACAATGAAGAATAGAAACAGCTAAGCATCTTAAAACCAAGATGAGCTCACCAAGAGAAGTGCAATTTAGCTATATACATGATGTACTCTTTAGTATTTGCTACTTTTTCTGTTTTCTATCACAATGTGAAGGATCCACTTGTAAGATCTGGTCCATCAGACCTCAGCTCACTGCTCATGAACACTGTAACTGGGTGGCTGAGGGTGAATTTAATGCTGACCAGGATTGCATTTTTAAATGAAAATACAAAACATCCTCTAGAATTTAATTTAAATAAGATCATGTCCCCAGCTGCTGTGACTGAGTTGGAATTGTAACAGATGGACGGACAGATGAATATTGTCTGAACTGTCCTTTGTATTCTCTTGTATCTCACAGACACAAGAGAAGACAGAGGGTCCAAGGACAGGACCCAATCCTGGTTGTACAACTTTCTTCTGTAGGATATTTCCCCATGTCACCTCACTAAACCTTGAAATAGGAAGCCAAGCTAGACTGGACCATGGGATAAATAACAGTCATTTTGGGTGACTGAAAATAGGTATCTTCTGTATCAAAATGTATCTTTACTTGAATTTAAAATACTCTTTAAATTTTTCCCCTAAGAGTTTATCTTTTAGAATTTGAGAGGTCACCAGTCCTGCAAATTAGGCCACACAGTCTCTGGTAATACCCTCACTTTGCATTACTCAAATATATCCATGTGCAATTTGAAATTTGATCATTTCCTCAAAAGACAAAAAGCATCAAGACTTACAAAATGAACTTCCAGGACAGCCTCTGTAAACACAGTGAAGATTCCAGGTACAAAAATACACATTCCATTTTCTTAATCTGTAACTATTGAAGCTGTCTGCTCCCTAATATTTTGTCTTAAAAAGATCCTTTCTGCATTAAAATATTTCAAAACATTATCTCCATTCTTCGTCTTCTCAAAAAAATAGCATCTATTTCATCAAAAAAATCCAATTCATCATCTTCTGTGAAGAATTAGAGTTGGCTTTGCATAGATAGCAGGCTCCATTATTTTACATAAAACAGCTGAGCCCTTTCCATCAGAAAACACCATCATCAAACCTGCCCCATAAAACAGCAAGAAAAAAAGAGCATGGACCCTATTCCCTCAAAAACACCATGGTAAGCACAAGGAACACCACAGCCTTCAACACACTGGTGCAAATATATATTTCTCTGAACTTCACCCTGTGCTATTGTTACCTTCGTTGAGCAATTGTAAATATTTTGGAGGAAAGACCAATGGAAGACACTTGCCTTCAGGGAAAAAATTTCCTGCTGGCCTTGCTGGCTTAAGATCAAATGTACAGAAATGAAGAGCGCTGACTCGGAATCCAGAACGCATTTCCTCAGGATCTTCCTACGAAGAAAACCCTCCCGCATCGGCCGAAAGCAGCAACGTTTCCTACTGGATTTTCCTTCACTTGAATTTGTGTGACGTTTGCTTTGTGCCATTTGTCTTGATTTTCCTGTCCCCCGCTGGTTTTTTAGGAGGGACACAACTGCTGGCGCTGCCGTTTTTCTTTGGATTTGTGCACGTGTATGTTTTGAAGCCTTTGATGGGAGCAGCTGCACCGTGGAACGCTGGGCTTTGCTTGGGGGGTCTGATATTACCAACACTTTGGATTTTAGAGCCGTTCTCGGAGGGCTGCAGGTTGAGCAGCTGTTGCTTTGCAGCTGGTTTCTTTTTCAGTTCGCTCCTTGCGTCACCAGCCTGTCTCTGAGAAGGTGCTGCACATCCCGTTCTCTCCGCCGGCCTCAAGTGACCTGGATGAGAATGTAACTGGCGACTTCCCTCACAGTGGGGATCCCCCCTGTGACCCAAACAGCTCCTGGGCAGCTTGGCAACACTATCCTGGGGCACCACTTGCCTGTTGGGCACAGGGCTGAGCAATGCCTTGCCTTTGCCAGGGCTCTTCAGGGCACGGGTGGAGCTGGGAGCAGTCTGGGGCCGTCCCTTGGCTGCCTTCCCCCTCTCGTTCTGCACCGTCTGCATCTGCAGCCACTCCAGCTGCACCAGGCGCTCCAGGTATTTCTCCAAAAATCCCGTTGGCTTCGGCCGGAAATCAGCTTTCCCTTCCACGTGGACAAAGATGGCCAGCTGCTTCAAGTCCCAGGAGTTGAAAGGGGGTGGGAGAAAGTCTGGGTAGTAATATTCTGACTCTTTAAAACCCATTTCAGGGACATGTTCCAAACAATCCGGATCGATCTCTTCAGCTCGGAGAATGAGTTCTGGTGGAGTGCAGGGAGAGGGGGGAATGGGAATCCTTTCTGAATCAGAGAGGTCACTGGCACTATCATCTTCAGCATCTTCTTTAATAATTTGTACTGATTCAAAATCAAGAAACATTTCACTTACAGATGCTTCTTGCCATTTAGAAGGGCCTGGACTGGCTCCAGCAACAGGTTCTTCGTGATTCTTTTCCAATTGTTCTTTTTTACTGCAATAAAAATGTTGCACTGGGACATCTTTAACCCTACAGAAGTTTCCTTGTGTGCTGCCCTTTGTGCTTGGAGGGATCCTGTGCAGCAAAGATTCATTCTGCCTTCTTTCTGGGAGACTCCTCTTTGGTCCTTGCACACTGTGCAGTGATGGGCAAACACTCGGGATCCTGAATGAGAAGAATGATCACATCCTGTCACAATGGTTAATTCTTTGAACATGAGTTTGCAAAGGTCTTGCTACCCCCTTCAAGGACAGGGATTTACACGACTGAAGCTAAAACTGGCACAGAAACTTGAGGCAAAATTAATATTTGCTGGTAGAGATAACACTGCCTACTATTGATTTATTTTATTTTATTCACTAAGGCAGGACAGTAAGTTTCCATACTGATAACTTATATTTATTATCCTCATAAATGCTGAACTCCGGGGCCAGTGAAGTCAAAAGCACAACACAGCAGCCATGATTTCATCACAAGCATTTAATAAACCAGTCTGAAATGACCACAAATTAAAGGGACAATCTGAACATAAAATTACCTTTTGGACTGAGTGCTGCTGTCCAGCTGGTTCCTTCCCTTCTTAAGAACATTTGGTTGGTTACCATCTTGAGTGTCAGGGGAAATCTGAAGAGATATGAGAGTATGTGATGTTATTAAGAAGCTGACTTAAACTAGGTAATCTTCTTATGCTAAAAAAAGGGATTCTTTACCTTTTCAATGGCACTTGATACATTTTTGCCCAATCTTCCAGGAGAAGATTTCACATAAGAAATTGGTTTATTTAGTCCTTTGGTGCTCGGATGGCTTTTTCCATTGCTGTAACTATGAAGGATTAAACAGAACATCACTTACAAATAGCAACATATATGACCATCAGAAAGGAAATACAATAAAAGCTTAGAATGCAATTGAGTTTAGAAAAGAGAATTGATTGCAACTATTCTTAAAGTTCACCAGAACTCTGCCACAGTCACTTTTTACTTTTATACTACTAATGCCCTACTGTATTTTTAATACTATTAATGCAATAGTGAATAATTCTATCAGATGATATAATAATAGAATGTAGCCCTTATATAAAATCCTCTGCCAGAGTATCTCAAAATTACCTTTGGGATAATAAAGGATAGATATTATAGAGACTAGATAGATAGAAAGAGACCAGATATTTAACTACTGATTTCTATAATACCTGAAACCGCAATTTAACAAAATTTATTATAAACTACAATATAAAGGTCACTGCAAGTCAAATTTTGCTTGTCTTCCTCATTTGCATACTGGGAACAAAACTTAAAAGATTATTCCTTTGAAGTTAAGGAGCGGAAGTAAGCAGGGAGCATAATGTCTATTCTCCTACCAATACAAACTACTTTACAAAAGGCACAAACAAAACTCACTATTTCATGTTATAATGGGGTTGTGACAATATCAGCAGGAGAAAAAACTCACATGTGAGCAAAGGGAATGGCATTACTGATCTGGGCAGCTTAAAACTAAAACATGTATTTCCTCAATTAAACCAGATACATTCCTGTGTAAGCATACAGAATAAATTCAAGAGCTTACAAAAGAATTAAACTACATCCCGTGCCTCCAGCATCACTGCAGTCACCTCTGTGACTCTGTGACCTGCGTGATCATCCTGCACAATCATTCCTGCTGCTGTGGATCAGGGCAGAGGATGACAATCTCAACAGTACAGTCAGGCACTTATTAACTCATCTACAGTATTCTGACAGTTCTGTAACTAGAAAGAGAGACATTAATTTCCTTACTTTACCATTCCTTTGTGGTTTTCATTGGTGTGGCTGTGGCTTCCCTTCTGCTGTGTCTCTCTGTGCAGCAATAAGGGATATTCTTGAATGCCTGGTCCCATTATTCCTCTCTTTCAAGGGTATCTGCACCTTTATTTTTACATAATCTTCAAACAGCTCCAGTCTTTTGGGTTTGCAAGACACAGCGTATCAAACGCACACATCGCCACGTCCTGGAGCTGCTGGAAACAAACCAAACCCTCCCAGTGTGATTCTATTTTTAAAGCAGGAACATAATCAGCTCCTGGTAAACACTGTCCCCTCCTGCAGCACGCGCTTAATGGGAACCAGTATCATTCATTACTATTCCCAATCCAGGGAATCACCTGGGAGTCGGCAACGTGACCAGAGCTCCCGTGCGGTGTCATGTGCTCACCATCCTCACCATCCTCACCACCCTCACCACCCTCACCATCCTCACCATCCTCACCATCCCACCAGCGCTCCGCCTGCGCACTTGGATTGCCTTGGATCGCCCGGAGCCGGGCGTCACAGCCCCGAGTGTTCCTGCTCCCAATTTACCGGGAGCAGATGCTCATCCCCCTGCGTTCTGTGCGTGCCGAGCTGTCCTTTTCGTGTCACATAAAACGCGCTCTTGCAATATTCATGTATGCAAATTTTGAACCAGATACTTAATTTTTTTTTCTTTTTTTCCAAAACAAATGCCTCATCAATTCCTACTGAAAACACTCAGAGCGGGATCTGTGGCATTCTTTTATTTCCCAGGAGCTGTATCCCCGTTCCAGGGTACCGCACTGGGGTGCACAGACACGGCGTGCAAATGTGACAGGCGACCAACAGCTCTGCTGACCCACCTTTACAGCCACTGCACTGCTGTTTATGCATTACTTATGCACACTAATGCAAAATAAATGGAAAATAATTTACATTTGACCTCGTCCTCTGCCACACGCCTTCCCCCATCCTGTCCCCGGCCAAGGAGGAGCGCGGGGAGAGAACCGGGGCCCCGGAGCGCCAGGACGAGGTAGATCAGCGGCCGCGAAGAGGCAGCACCGGGACGGCAGTACCCGGGATGGATGGCAGTGCCCGGGATGGATGGCAGCAGTGCCCGGAATGGCAGTGCCCGGGATGGGTGGCAGTGCCCGGCATGGGTGGCAGTGCCCGGGATGGATGGCAGTGCCCGGCACGGATGGCAGTGCCCGGCACGGATGGCAGTGCCCGGCACGGATGGCAGTGCCCGGCATGGCTGACAGGCTGTGCCCGCAGCAGCCGCCGATGCGGGCCCCACTCCGCTCCCTCCCGTGCTGCCCCAGCGGTGCCCGCCGCGGTGCCCGCGCTCCGCAAGGACAGCGCCCGCGGGGTTCCCGAGCCCGCCGCCCCCACCACCTCCCGCCGGTCTCGCCCCCATCCCCGCGCCACGGCCGGGCCTCTCCCGCTCCCTGCCTTGCCTTTGCCTTCGGCCCCGCGTCCTTCGCCGCCGAGGGCGGTCCCGGGGAGCGCAGAGCGAGGGGCGGGCCGGGGCGGGGACAGGGCCCGGCGCCTGCGCTGCGGGAGCGGAGCGGGGCCCGCCCGGGCCGGGCCGGGCTCAGCGGGGCTGTGCCGTCCATGGGCGCTGTGGCGGCTCCGGGCGCGGATCGTCCCCCCGGGGCCAGCGCCGCGGCCCCGCCCGACAGCCCCCGCCGGGACAGCCCCCGCCGGGACAGCCCCCGCCGGGACAGCCCCCGCCGGGACAGCCTCCGCCGGGACAGCCCCCGCCGGGACAGCCCCCGCGCCCCCTCCAGCCTCTGCAGCAGCCCCGGGCTCGGCTCCGGCTCGCTGCCGCCCGACAGCCTGCAAGCCTTCCCCGGGCTCGACTCGCCCAGCATCCAGTGTGACAGCCTGGAGTGTCCGCCCTGCTCGTCCTGCTGCTGCTGCCGCGGCAGTGCAGGGTCGGTGGGGGTCAGCGAGGACAGTCTGCAGGCCCCTCTCGCCCTGTGCTCCGGCCGGAGGTGCCTCGGGGCGCACCCAGCATCCAGCGACCTCTCCGACAGCCTGGAGTCACTTATCCAGCACGACAGCCTCCAGTCGCTCTCCAGCCTGTGCGTGAGCTCCTCCAGTATCAGCGGTGATAGCCTTGAATCCTTCTCCAGCCTGAGCCTCGGGGGCACCAGCCAGCACAGCGATCTCGAGTTTGTCGGCCCCTGAGACTGCTTTCATCTCGCCTTCATCTCTACACAGACCGCCCTCGCCGCTGGATCCTTCCAGCTGCTCTGAGAGCTTCCACGTTTGTGCCCTTCATTCACAAGGTGACATTCAAGTTGATCCTTCTTCCTGCACCCAGTGCAATAACCTCAGACCTTATTGTCCGTGGCTGCCATTCCCAAATTAAGTGCTTCAGAAGGGCAGTGTTCCTTATTGCTTGGTTCTTTGCCATCAGTTAAGAATGGAAGTGCGTGTTCCTCGGAGAAATCCCAGCTATCTCTCTGATCTCTATGAGAACATGTTAAGGGCTGAAGGAGCAGCAGGACGAGGACATCAGCAGCCCCCAGCAGTCCATACAAGTAGCAGCCTGACTTTTCAGAGCAGCACTTCAGCCAAGAAGAGCCCCCAGCCAAAGCACCCTCAGAGCAGCACATCCTCCAGCTGTGACCCAGTACTGCGGCCCATCATACGCCGCCGAGCCAGGTCTTTGCCCACATCACCCGAAAGGAGGAGAATAGCAGTGCACTGTCAGCTTCCTGAGTGCCAGAGTCGTATGAACCGGGTGAGGTTTGCTGATGCCTTGGGTTTGGAGCTCACCGAGGTGAAAGTCTTCCAGACTGGCGAGGATCCATCCATCCCCTTGCATGTCCTTTCCAGGCTCTCCATCAACTCAGACCTCTGGTACAGCAACTCAGACTTGGAGTTTACTATGCAGTGCTTGGTCCCGGACTTCCAGCAGCCTGCAGACTGTATGGATTTCTCCTCCCGACTTCAGGAGCAGCAGGTGTGTCTCGAGCGGGTGACCAGCTCCGACTTGGGGCTCAGTGGCACCATCCAGGTTCGCAATGTGGCGTTTGAGAAGCGGGTGTCTGTGCGCTACACCTTCGACCAGTGGCAGAACCTCCACGAAGTGTGTGCTCGCTGGCACCACAGCATCCCCGAGAAAAACGGGCAGGATCAGGCCGATGTTTTCACTTTCTTTCTTCCTGTGCCTCCTTTCCTCCTCCAGCTGTGCTCTCTCGTCCAGTTTGCAGCAAGGTACCAAGTCAATGGCCAGGAGTACTGGGATAACAACAGAGGCCAAAACTACACTCTCACCTGTCGGACCCACCCCCTTAAGATGCCGAGGGAGTGTCAGGAGAGCTGGATCCACTTCATCTGAACAAAGGAAGTGGGTGCAGAGCAGCTTGTCAGTAGTCTTGGTGGCACTCTGTTCCTTGGCATGGCTCTCTGCTCCTATGGCAACGGCCTTCTTGGTAAAACCTGCCAAACCTGGCGAAGTGTCCCAGGGCTGGGGAGCAGCCAGTGACCCTGACAAACTGTTCCAAACTTCTCGGAAAGCTAAAAGGGCCAAAATCTTTACTGAGATACACTTGTGGAAAGCCCGTGTCATTTCTTGTAGAGTGTGAGCAGAATGGTTTCAAGGAATGCTGTCAGACTACCAGAGGGTAAAGCAGCACATTTCTTTTTCCTAGTAATACTCTAGGTTGCACAGAATGTTTTTAACTGATCTCATTTTGTACTATTTGTTTACTAAACCGCTTTACTAGTTTTGTTTCTAATTTTGTTTGTATTATCTCACCAAGTCTGGGCACTATTCCATTTATGCGTAATTTGGATGGCAGACACTGTAGGGAGTACTTGTATTTATATATATCGTATTAAGGCTGTAACCACGTTAAATATTTCCATTAATATTTGGGTTGGGAATTAAATGTTACTACGAGCAGAACATACATGGAAATATGCCATCACCCCCTCTCTTTCCCTTAAAAAATACCCAAAAAGGTGCCTTTTCTTGTCTCCAGTGTTTGCAGCAGAAGTGATTGTTATTAAAATGTGTGTAAGGCAGACCTTCCTGGGGAAGTTCTCATCTTTTTCAGATGGTGCCAAAATAGGTTTTTCTCTTGTCCTTTCCTGGTGCACCTGTATTTACTAAGGGAAACTAGAGCAATTTTGGACTTGTGTGGCAGTTGAAGATCTCAAAACACTATATGAATGCTCATGATTTTACCAGTGTTTCTGGTAAAATTATAAATCAAGAAATGGATATGAGATAGATAGATATATAGATATATAGATATGTATAAGGAAAAAAATAGCACAGGGAGCAGGTTACAGAGCCTTGGATCCTGAATCCTGGCTCCCTGTTCCCAAGTGTCCCAGTACTACTGCAGCAGGACCTTTGAATTCTTTATTTACTGCTTCTCATTATAAAACTCCAAGACTGCAGCCTTTGCAGCACAAGCAGGAGCTTCAAAGCAAAATTATGATTTTTACTAGTAAACTAATACTTACACAAAACCATAAACAGAATCCCTTCTGCTGCAGGGAGAGCACAGGAACACTGTTACACACCTTCTTCCCATGATTCTTGCACTACTACTTTCATTCTGTGGTTTTAGTGTGGCTTAGGATTGGCAACAGGCTTGGATCTATTGAGCAAAAGATTGTCCATAATTGTTTTCATACGTATGGACATTGTTTTCATAACTGCATGGAAAGTTTAACTTTATATGGTAGCATGAATTTTCGGAGCTGGCTGGCTGGAGGTATTAGAAAAGCTGCTTTTTAGGACTGTACTGTGACAATCAGGCCACTTATTTGGGCATCTTATTTTGGATTGGTGCTTATTTACTGAAATCACAAGTAGGTTTTAAAATCACAATTTTAAGGAACTCATGAACAATTCTATATTAGCCCAAAATGTCTCCTGAGTAATTCTGGAAGTGCAGAAACCCCAAGAAAATTAATTTGTCTGGCAACTTAATGTTGCTCCTTTTTGTGGTACCCATTTAGCAAAGCTGGGATTTCAAGTGAGGAAGCTGCCTCATTCCAATTAGGCTTTGGCTTTCAGAGGAGCCAAAGTCATGAATGAAGATTCATAAGCTGCTGAGCACCTCCTGCAGAGTATTCAGAAAATACAGTCCTGTTTGGAACTATTGAGTATTGACTGTGTTGGCTGCTTTGCTGGAACACTGTGAAGCTGAACATTTAAGTGGAAATTGTTTTGAAGGAGGAGGTGAGGCTGAGGTG